GAAAAGTTGTAAAATTTTGCCCAAAATTCAGAACCGGCGAAAAATTAATTTTTTTTGTGTTTATTTTTATGGGACTAAAAAAATGACAGAACAGCGCCCCCTACAAAAGTCAGTTTAAATTGCGCCTATGGGAGGGGGTCGGAGGTCAAGTTTGCCGTAGAGCCACAAAACTCGGTACACATGTTCCTCAAGTCAAGACATGAAAAAAAAGTTATGATGGCTCCGCCCCCTGACAAACAGGGAGGTCATTAACGTCAATGGGAAATGGAAAAATGAAAATTGATCTTTTTCACACATGTCGGTTGGAAATTATCTCCTCCTCGGCCGCTTCACCGATTTGTCTCAAAATCGCTCCACATGGTCTACACACATGTACCATCAATTATTGAATATAGAATTTGGATCAGGTAAACGTTGTCCGAGCAGCGGAGCGGCAAAATGTGACATATTTTTCAGATTTTTGACAAAAGTAAATTTGCTCCCGTTTGGACAAAACAAGCCGGATTTGCACACAATTTTTATCCATTGTTCAGTTCCAGGGTCTAGGTCATTTGAAAGTGGAAATATTTAAATTGGCTCATTAGCGCCCCCTACAGACCATGTCAAAGTTTTATATGAGCCTAAAAAAAATTAGTTTTTTCAAAATGTTTGAAATTTTGCACATAATTCTGTTTTGTCATCTGGATTTAAAAAGTCAATGACAACATATGCTTATTTTTTACCCTGTTGCCGTGGTGACGACCAACACTCCCCTGTCTGTGTCTACGGGAAAATTGTTTAATCTCTGAAAAGTACTCCTCGTTCAAACATCAAACCAGCCGCGGCCGTTTCACTAATTTGGCTGAAAATCGCTCCACATCGTCTCAACACATGGGCCATCAATAGTTGAATAAAGAAATTTGAATTAGTCAAACGGTCTGCGCCTGACAGACTCCCAAAGTGTGGTTATTTTCATAGAGAGGTGTGAAGTTCCCATGTTATCCAATGGAGACTGTGTGGACACACTCACAGATTGTATGAACAAACAGGAGCACATTTACAAACTCTGATATTCACTAAACTTGACTCGGTTGTTCAACTCCTGGGCCTAGGTCACATGACAGTGTGAACAATGACATTGGCCCATTAGCGCCCCCTACAGGCTGAGTAAAGGTTTACATGGGGATACAGGTATTTAGGTTTTCTGTTGTTTGATCTCATATCTGACCCACTGAACAAACACAAAAACTCACCAAACTTTGCCACAAGTTTTTTTTCAGGCATAAAGTTTATTATTTTGGTGTTTTTTGGTATAAGAATAAAAAATTCAAATTGTAGGGGGCGCTGTTGTACAACATAAATGCCTTCTGTTTGCACATAGAAATTCCGATTTGCACAAAATTTCAATTGATTGTTCAACTCTCGGGTTTGGGTAAACTGAAAGTGTAAAAGATGACATTGCAGCAATAGCGCCCCTACAGACTGATACAAGTATTACATGGGGAGAATTAGGTTTACCTTTTCAAAGACACACACAATCACTGATCATAGGAATTCAAAAGGCACAGTGTCGCTCCCGTCAGGGCAGTGGGAAAATTATGCGTCAGCGCCACCTCCTTTGCGCGGTGCGCCGAGGGCCGTTGGACGCCGCTTGCGGCTTTAATTATAATTGCATTTCCTGTATTTGAATGGTTTGATTCTCTGATCTTTGTAAAGTCGGTCGGAAACACAGGCGGACACCACACAGAGGTAGGTCCTTTCTTACCTGGACTTTACATCTTTCAGAGTCAGATTATGAACACAAGAAGTTTCTCTAGCGCTCCAACAGAATATTTTAGAGTTACGTGCAATAATCTCCAACTTCAAACCACTTCTAATCCAAGTGACGCTGGTTTGTCCTGAACATCGGCTGGTGTTGAATGAGCAGCTGAGGGTCACAGAGTCTCCTGACTTCACTGGGACCAAGTCTGGGGTCTGGACCATGGACTGTAGAGGCTCCGAGTCCTGATCCAGCTCCAGAACAGTGCCTGATCCAAAGTTAAAAGAGCCAAGTATTCCATAGCAGTAGGTGCCGACGTCGTCTGGGGCCATGTTCTTTATGGTCAAACTGGTTTCATCAAGAGAAGATTGCATTGAAATAGAAAGCTCTGGATCTGACATTTCATTACTACAGTCTCTCCCAGCTTCACCTTTTTCAAAAAATCGAGCTTCTGGACTTCTTGTGCCTCAGAAACACCTGAAATTAAACCAATTGTTCTGAAGTGAATGAAATGTTCCAGTTTGCTCTACAGCGCTGCGTTTATACTTACAGAGAGCCCAGAGCACAGAGACCAGGACAACGTACATCACCATCGCTGCAAGTTGAAAGTCTGAGCTGATGTGGTCAGCGGTGGAATATAAAGCAGAGAATGGAGCTTCCTGATTGGATGATATAAATTGAAGCTGTCTTCGTTCCGTGCATAATGTCTTCCAGTTTCACGTGTCAATTGTGGTCTTAATTATACTGAACAAAAATGAAAGCAGGGTCTAAAACTGTCATTGTTCATATGTTTCCCAGCATTGTCACAGTGCAATCCAAAAAAAAATTGATCCTGATACTAAACATAATCAAAGGTTAATGTTGCCGCAATGACGCCAAAAAAAATTGACGCCTTGTGAAAATTTTGACCCAAGTTTCGAGGCTCAAAGTTGGGAATATTTTGAGAGACACTGCAGCATGAGGATTCCTAGGAGCACAGAGACCGCTGGGCTGTGCGTTCTACATCTGAACACGGCCAGAATACGACAAGACCATTTCACAAACAACTTACTGCAAGTGCGTGTCTTTGTACCATCAGCTCATGCCACAAATACAGAGATTGTGTCCTCCTTCCTGTACCTCCTTCAGCGAACACACAAAGCTGGGGAATCTAAACTTTTCCCCTACTAATAATGCAAAGTCTTGTAAAAGTGAAATGTGAAGAACAAATCAGACAACATGCTGTCTTCGTCTTATTAGTTTGTGAAACATGTAAGAAACAGCCCTGTGAGTCACTATTTGACTGTTTAGGCTGAGAGTGGATCCATATATGTGACAGAGGCTGTTACGTTTGGGCACCTTTTCCCCCTTTGGTTTTATGTCTTATCTTTTTTTGTCCAGGTATTTTTGGGTTTTATATTTTTTGGTAAGATTGTTTTTATAAGTATATTTTATAGGTTTTTCATGTTTTGTAACTTATTTTGAGTAACTTATTTAGTATGTTTTGCAGCTCAGGCCGGGAGAATAAAAGCGCTGTCCTTGTGCACTCCTCAGCCTCTGTTCGCAACACCTGAGGTGAGCGTGCACGAGCTGCTCTTGGTCCTGGTCGCGGCCTCCCCAGACGCCGCATGGTTTGGTTGTTTTTTTAGCCATTCGTTAGCTTTTTTTCTGTCCTTATTTTTGTTTGATCTGGTGGGTCCGGTGGTTCACATTTGTGTAATGAGGTGATGAGGTGGAAACTTCTGTGCGGTTACAGCAGAGGTGTAAACATCTTCTCTCTTTGGAATCTGGTTGTTTTATTACAACCAAAGAATCAAGTGGACGGCTTTCTTTACTTCAGTGGATGCAGGGGGTGAGTCCACAGAAGCCTTGATCTTTCAGTGGGGGCTTCAGGCAAAGTGGGGTTAAGTGTTTTAACAAGCATTTGACAAGAACTCTTGCTCTAAAACTCTGACAACATCTCACAAACTTCAAAGCTGAAATTGATGATTTTAATGAGATATCTTCCGGAGAAACATAGGATGATGAATACAACTAAATAAAGAATGCAGACTTGTAAATAAATACATAAGCAGTGTGACAAGAGTCTAGTAACATCTCGGTGGTCTGTCGTGCCGTTTCTTCACTTCAGAATAAACCACTGGGTCCAGTCGTGGTGAGACTGAGGCACTTCTGGGCACCACCTTCACTCCTGCATACGTCACCTCAGCCTGTGCATCAACAATGTAAACTGACGTCAGGATCATGGGGAAATATGTTATTTGTTGAAGCGAGCAGAAGCAGACTCCTGTTGGTGACAAGTTTGTACCACACTCTACTTTCCCAATAACTCCTGGTCAGACATTTCATTTCTACGGCTTCTCCGAGCTTTGCAGTTCTCAAACATTCTTGCTGCTGGATTTCCAGTAACTGAGCTGCACCTGAAACACAAAACAACAGTTAAAGAAAGTGAGACGTGAAAGGTTCTGTGTGTTACTTACACTGAGACCAGAGCAGAACGCTGAGCCTCAACAACACTTTCATCTTGGCAGATTCTGCAAAAATGTGGTTAGAAGAGTTAGAAACATGAAGTGTGAATGCTCCGTTCTGATTGGCTCGTACACATTCATGCCTGATTGGCTGAAAAGGTAAAAAAACAAGGGATTGACTCACTATAAATGCACAATGAATGAGAATCACAACATGCTTTATGGGTTTATGAAGCTAAAACAAAGCTGACGCTCTCAAAACCACACTCTCTGAAACCCATGCCAGTGACTGGGTCCTCCTTCAATCACCACATTGAACTGATCTCAGCGCTAATGTGAACTTATCAATTATAACTTTGTTCATCCAAGAAAAAAGTATTGCATCTGATTTTCTCTCATTTTGTAAAATCAGAGAAAAATCAGTGTGACATCACCACAGTTTTAGTTTCAATGCATAAGAGGCTGATTTGAACATAAACTGGAGCCATTTTCCTTATATGGGCGTGCTTCCTGACAGCATTTGATTTGTCAGTCCTTATTAGGCTCATAACTGGATTTACAAAGACAATATCACATTATAAACCAGGATCACAGTCAGCACTAAACGACAGACTTAAGCCCAAAATGGTGAGTTTGACACAGACTGAGCTGGAGGAGTTTACTTTTACAAGCCCCGAGCGAGTTCCCTACCCTTCATGGAGGTAGGAGGTTAGCATTGTTCATCTATGCATGACTGTGTACGAGCCAATCAGAACGGAGCATTCACACTTCATGTTTCTAACTCTTCTAACCACATTTTTGCAGAATCTGCCAAGATGAAAGTGTTGTTGAGTCTCAGCGTTCTGCTCTGGTCTCAGTGTAAGTAACACACAGAACCTTTCACGTTTCACTTTCTTCAACTGTTGTTTTGTGTTTCAGGTGCAGCTTAGTTACAGCAAGAATGTTTGAGAACTGCAAAGCTCGGAGAAACTGTACAAATGGAATGTCTGGGCAAGCGTTATTGGGGAACCTATTTCTGGTTCAAACTGAGCACTAACAGGAGTCTGCACGTTGTCGCTTCACAAAACATGTTTGAGCCAAATCCACCAAAAGATGATCATTATTCAGTGAAATCTTTTGAAGATCTAACCACTTTGACCATAAAGCAGATGAGGAAGGAGGATGTCGGCACGTACTACTGTGGAATCCTCAGTTCTTTTAATGCTGTCTTTGGATCAGGCACTGTTCTGGAGCTGGATCAGGACTCGGAGCCTCTACAGTCCATGGTTCAGACCCCAGACTTGGTCCCAGTGAAGTCAGGAGACTCTGTGACCCTCAGCTGCTCATTCAACACCAGCCGATGTTCAGGACAAACCAGCGTCACTTGGATTAGAAGTGGTTTGAAGTCTGAGATTATTGAACGTAACTCTGGAAATGAGAATATATTCTGTGGGAGCGCTGGAGAAACTTCTTGTGTTCATAATCTGACTCTGAAAGATGTAAAGTCCAGAGAAGAGGGGACCTACCTCTGTGTGGTGTCCGCCTGTGGACACACTCTCACTGGGACAAGGATCCATGTGAACGGTAATTATTAATATTATTCTCATATTTTAGCACCTTGTAATGTTTTATTTATGGGATTATCCATTCACACTGGCCACAAAAAGAAACCAAACACTAATAAGATTTTACAATACAGAAAAATCAATGAAAGTTAGGGGAAGGAAGGTTAAAAAATAGTTAGAACCATTTACACAGTGGTCTTTCAGCGCTTTAGTCTTTAAGTCTTCAGTCTTTAAGCGATTTGGGTCACCGTGGTCTGTAAAATGCACTATATATAAAACAAACATTACTTACTTACTCACACCATGACTGAATGTCCTCTGCTTTTGTACAGACTGGACTCTGTGCTATGTTCAATTCCTCACTAAATGTTAAATAGTTTGTAACAATGGTTCTGATCCAGGGTTTTCTCACACTGTTTGTTTCATTCCTGCTCTTTACAAAAACTTCTGTAGTAATATTTGTAAAGATAATTGAATCGTCTGTTTGAAGGAGAAGAACTGCTCGGCCTGAGTCCAGCTGTCATTGTCCTGACCGTGTTGAACATAGTTTTGTGCTCGGCTGTGGTCGTCCTGGTGCGGATGGTTTGCAGCTTGAGGAAGAATCAGCTCAAAGGTACTGACCACACTCACAAAGAAAAACAGTTTACCTTCTTCCAGAGAACTGCACAGAGAAACCAACACTCACACTTCACAGCCAGATGAATCCTTTCTTTGCAGTTCCTCAAAAAGTGACAATCCACAGACTTAGGAAGACTGCATCAATATAATGTAAATACTTGGCAAGTTTATTTATATAGCACAATTCATAGACAAGGCAACTCAAAGTGCTGAACAAAATAAGAAAGCATTAAAATCATGAATAATCACAGAACATTAAAAAGAAAGATAAAAATATAAAATCCCTCAGTTGTATGCACAGCTAAACAGAACTGTCTTTAACCTGGTTTTAAACATTGTCAGAGAGGAGGCCTGTCTCACATCTTCAGGAAGACTGTTCCAGATTTTAGCAGCATGAATCTGAAAAGCTGCCTCCCCATGTTTAGTTCTGACTCTGGGCACTAACAGGAGTCCAGTCCCTGTGCTCCTCAGAGTCCCAGCAGGAGTCCAGTCCCTGTGCTCCTCAGAGTCCGGGCTGGTTCGTATGGTACTAACATGTCACTAATATATTTTGGTGCGAGGCCATGGAGAGACTTGTAACAAGCAGAGCTGTTTTAAAGTCTATTCTCTGAGCCACAGGAAGCCAGTGCAGAGACCTGAGAACTGGACTAATGTGGTCGTACTTCCTGGTTCTAGTCAAGACTAATGTGGTCATACTTCCTGGTTCTAGTCAGGACTAATGTGGTCGTACTTCCTGGTTCTAGTCAGGACTGGAGCTGCTGCATTTTGAATGTACTGCAGCTGTTTTACAGCCTGTTTGGACAGACCTGTGAGCAGGCCATTGCAGTAGTCTAACCTACTGGAGACAAATGCATGGATAAGAATCTCCAAGTCTGCTTTAGACACTATGTTTTTGATCCTTGCAATGTTTTTTAGATGGTAAAATGCTGCTGATGTTACTGATTTGATGTGGCTATTAAAATTTAAGTCTGAGTCCAGTATTACCCCTAGATTTCTGACCTTGTTTGAAGGTTTTAGGGAGAGAGACTGGAGGTGACAGATGACGCTCTCTCTTTGTTTCTGGGGACCAAAGACAATCATTTCAGTTTTGTCTGCGTTTAGCTGAAGGAAGTTGTTTTGCATCCACTCACTGATCTGTTGGATACAGTGAAGGAGTGAGTCCACTGGTCCATGTTCTCCTGCAGTCAGTGAGACATAGATCTGAGTGTCGTCTGCATAGTTGTGATAGGTCAGTTAATACGCAGAAACAAAGTGTCCTAACGGCAGCATGTAGAGATTGAACAGAAGAGGTCCCAGGATCGACCCCTGTGGTACTCCACAGGTCAGGGCCATATGATCTGAGACACAGTTTCCAATCTCCACAAAGTACTTCCTGTCTTCAAGGTAAGACCTAAACCAACTTAGGGCGGTGCCAGCGACGCCAACCCAGTCCTCTAGTCTCTGTAAGAGGATCTCATGGTCGACAGTGTCAAAGGCAGCACTCAGATCTAACAAGATTAAGATTGAGACTTTGCCTGCGTCAGTGTTCAGCCGCATATCGTTTGTAACCTTGACGAGAGCAGTCTCAGTGCTGTGGTGGGGTCTAAAGCCGGACTGAAACATATCAAATGAGTTGTTGATTATAAGAAATCTAGTAAGCTGTAGGTAGACAACTTTCTCAAGGACTTTCCCCATAAATGGCAGATTTGAGATGGGACGATAGTTGTTGAGTACCATAGCATCCAGACTGCTCTTTTTTAGCAGGGGCCTGATGACTGCAGTTTTCAGGGCCTATGGGAATATTCCAGAATGAATAGACATGTTTACTATCTGTGTGAGTGAAGGTAACAGACTGCTCAGAACAGACTTCAGAAATCTAGTGGGTAGTACATCCAGGCTACATGTGGAGGAGCTCAAACTGGAGACAGTCTTGGACAGTTTGATCATTTACAGGTGCAAAGTAAGTTAGCTCAAAGAGCCTTTCTGGCTGTTGGATTGTTATCTGTGGATTGGAGACAATGGCGTTTTTGATGCCTTGAACCTTGTCATCGAAAAAATGTGGAAGCTCATTACATTTACGTTTGGAAGTAAGCTCTAATGGCATTTGAACAGGGGGGTTTGTTAATCTATTAATTGTTGAAAACAGAACACGCAGATTGTTGCTGCAGCCTTAAAGCATTTCAGAAAAATACCTTTCTCTCGTACTACGTAGCACCCGGTTCATACAAGTAAAATGAATGGCTGAATACCAAAGAGCTATACACTGAGGTACAGCATGACTATATTGGTTGAGCTGAAGTTGGCTGTATGATGGATGGAAAGTGCCTCAATGGATAGTTTGTTGGTTTGGACTGTTTTAACCTTAATCTTTAGACCCAAGTAACAGTGTTTGTTTTACAGAAGTGGACTCTGGCCTTGGCCCGACTCACAGGGAACAGGTCAGTCTTCATGGTAATCATATATTTTCCCCATGATCCTGACGTCAGTTTAAATTGTTGATGCACAGGCTGAAGATGAGGTGACGTATGCAGGAGTGAAGGTGGTGCCCAGAAGTGCCTCAGTCTCACAACGACTGGACCCAGTGGTTTATTCTGAAGTGAAGAAACGACAAGACAGACCACCGAGATGTTACTAGACTCCTGTCACACTTTTTTTTTTTTATACGTCATCCTAAATATTTTCAGTTAAACAAATACCACAAAATAATTCAATCTTTTAGCTGTAATGGTTGTGATCAGAAAGAGTGGTCTTGTGAAAGTTCCCAAGAGGATCCACACTTAGAGAAACAATTTTTCTGTGAAGAGAACCTGGTCTGAACCTGGTCTGAACCTGGTCTGAACCTGGTCTGAACCTGGTCTGAACCTGGTCTGAACCGGGTCTGAACCTGGTCTGAACCTGGTCTGAACCTGGTCTGAACCTGGTCTGTATTGGACCCACTGCAAAATTTTTGGTCCTTAACAAAAGAAGATAAACAGATTCTTTATATGCTTACTGCTGAGGTGAATGTTTGCATTTTCAGACATAACAAAACCTTTGAGGAATGGGAAGAAGAGGAGAACCAAGAAGAAGAACGACAAAAGCAATGACACATGGAGTTAACATCGGAGGAACTGACCAAATGGGCTGTCGCTCTTTTAGTAAGATAGCTATTTTCAAGACTTTAAGTGAATGATCCAGACCTAAATTTGATTAAATAAGTAAATATAGTAAATTGTCTGCGGGTGAATAAAAGTAGTTCCGATATCTCTTAACAACGGTTGCTAAGGCAAAAGTTTTGTTTTCAGACTTGTTAAATAATCCCTAAACTTAAGCATATTTGGCCAGTTCAGTAAAGTCAATAAATATTTGTTACACACTTAAATACACGGTTGCGAGTTGTGTTTAACCAGTGTTTTGGACGACAGAGTGTGAAAGTAAATGTTTTATCAGTGCCTTTTAGAGGAAAGTGGTTCTCTCTCGACTGTCGAACAGAAGCAGGTTATTTTTACACCTCTGCTGTAACCGCACAGAAGTTTCCACCTCATCACCAGCAGCATCTCTGCCTCGAGTTCAGACTGAGCTGTCCAAGTGAAACCATGTGTCACCACCAAAGCTTTGAGTTCTCTGAGTTCCATGTGACCAGCAAGACTCATTCTCCACCTCCTCCAACAGTATCATAGCCTCTTCTGAACCACCTGACTTTGTACAGTCCAGTTTTACAGTCTAAAAAAAATTTACAATATTAGAGAATGCACCTTCTGTGAACAGGCAACCGTGCTTCCATCCCTCTGTGGAGGCAAAAGTGAAATACCCTTGACAATTGTAAAACGCTAACTGCACTGTCTATAAAGATTACTTACTGTACTTCCATCTGATTCTTTTCTGTTTGTTATCCTGCAACTGAAATGTCCAAACAAAGTCCAAACTCCCCCAAACCATGATTATAGCCTGAGTGTAGTGAGTGCAGGGAATGTGTAGATTAATTACTTGTTGAAGCTTTCACCTTTGAATGTCACAGATATTATGTTTACAAGAAATTAACATTGGGGAACTGCAACAACTATGTCACTAAGAAAATATAGCAATTACTTACAGGTGAAACTTAGAGTACTGTTCAAAAGTCCATTTATTTTGGGAATTCCACAACTGCAGTGATCTCGAACCTGTGTGTCGTAGGTCTGAGTGCTGCTGCAGCTGTCAAAAGCCGTGCATACACTGTTAAATACAGCGGCAGAGGACGCTGAGGGACAGGAGCAGGACAGAGGGCTACGGAAAGACCGTGGGAGACCTCTGCAACAAGGCAGGCAAGCAGGCAGACAGACAGACAGACAGACAGATAGATCGACAGATAGATCGCCAGATAGACAGATAGACAGACAGACAGATCGCCAGATAGATCGCCAGATAGATCGCCAGATAGACAGATAGACAGACAGACAGATCGCCAGATAGACTCTCAAAAGGCAGTCATACAAATGTTTCCACTTACACTGTTTGAATCGACTTTACAAAGATCAGAGAATCAAACCGTTCAAACACAGAAAATGCATTAATAATGAACACATTGATGCCATTGGTCAATAAGCATATCCTGGGGTAGTGGCAAAGTGTCAGGAGTCAGAAGACTGGGGGGAGAGCAATGTCGGCATGCCATGAGAATATGTATAACTCCAATATACATGAATCATAATGAAAACAGCTTTGAGTGTGAGAATGAATACAACATTACATAAACCTGAGAAACGTCGATGTTTATGTTATGTCCCCTTTAAGTTACGCACCAGTGCAGAGAGAGGTGTCACAAGAGGGGAAGCGCTTCAGAGATGGTTTCGAGGTTTAGTTCAACCATATCTTTTCAGAGATCAACTCATGAGCCTTTGCAAGACATTTGCACAGTCGTGCTTCCAAGTCAGCATCAACTCCTTTTGTCCAATCAGAATGCTCCGCTCCACACCTTATATTTCCACCCTGCCCACATCCACTCAGTCTTCTCACGATGGTGATGCTGAACGCTGTCCTCCTCCCTGTGCTCTGGACGCTGTGTGAGTTTGAGCAGATCTGCAGAGAAAACTGGGACATTTACAGACTTTTCAGAACCTGTGTGTTGTTTTTATGTTGTTTTTCAGGTGCGGCTCAGACACGACAAGTCCAGCAGCTCGAATGTTTGAAAAGGGCAAAGCTCGGAGAGACCGTGGTTCTGAAGTGTCTGACCAAGAGTGTTTGGAGGAAAAGGGTTTGGTATAAACAAAGCACCAACAGGAATCTGCATCTGATCGCGTCAACAAATATGGCCAATGAAGAAAAAGAGTTTGATGATATTTCAGTCACGTCTACTCCAAATGAAACCAATTTGACCATAAAGAACATGAGAACAGACGATGTCGGCACCTACTACTGTGGAATACCGAATTCTAATGACGTTGCTTTTGGATCGGGCACTGTTCTGGAGCTGGATCAGGACTCAGAGCCTCTTCAGTCTGTAGTCCAGACCCCAGACTTGATCAGACTGAAGTCTGGAGACTCTGTGACTCTCAGCTGCTATTTCAACACCAGCCACAGGGAACCAGAACTCACCAGTGTCACTTGGGTTCTGAGTGCTCCTGAGAGCTCCTGTCATCGTGCGAACACTGGAGGAACCTCATGTGTTCAACATATGACCCTGAATGACGTCAGTTCTGCTCATGACGGGACCTACCTCTGTGTGGTGACTGTCTGTGGACTCACACAGATCAGGAATGGGACCAGGATACAAGTGGACGGTAAGATAAACTACTTTCTTACAAATGGGTTAGATGGTTCAGCTTTTGTCCTGCCTCATTTCAGAATCAGAATCAGAGTCATTTTTATTGCCACGTAAGTAACAGGAAGTCACAGACTTGGAAATTGCTTTGGCTCAGTGCAAGAGTCAGAGAGAGATAATAAAAAATAAAGAATAAAAAACACTTCTAAGGAATATATTTAAATTTAAAATAGAGTTACAGTTACTATTTACAATATACAAGTGCACATGGTGCACACAATGTAAGGTGACAGCAGTACAGTGAAGTAAAGTGACGTATGATGGGCAGTAAAGTGACTTTATAAAGGGCGGGGGGACAGGTTAAGAAGTGTTCAAGAGTCCAACAGCAGAGGGGAAGAAACTGTTCTTGTGGCGGGAGGTTCTAGTCCTGATGGACCGCAGCCTCCTGCCTGAGGGGAGTGGTTGGAATAGTCCATGTGCAGGTGAGAGGGGTCGGCTGTGATACGACCAGCCCGGCCTCGAGCTTGGGCGACGTACAGGTCCTGCAGCGATGGAAGGCTGCGGCCGATCACTTCCTCTGCAGAGCGCACAATGCGCTGTAGTCTCTGTTTGTCCCTGACTGTGGCTCCAGCGAACCACACGGTGATGGAGGAGGTGATGGAGGAGGTGACGGAGGAGGTGATGGAGGAGGTGAGGATGGACTCGATGATGGCCGTGTAGAACTGCACCAACATCTGTGCAGGCAGCTTGGCTTTCCTGAGCTGCCGCAGGAAGTACATCCTCTGCTGGGCCTTCTTGATGAGGGAGCTGATGGTCGGCTCCCACTTGAGGTCCTGGGTGATGGTGGTGCCCAGGAAATGGAAGGACTCCACAGAGGTGATGGGGGAGTCCATCACGGAGGGTGGGGGCGGGGGGACAGTGCTCTTCCTGAAGTCCACAATCATCTCCACTGTCTTCTGGGCGTTCAGCTCCAGGTCGTTACCACTGCACCAGGACACCAGCCGGTCCACCTCCCTCCTGTAGGCGGACTCATCGTTGTTGGAGATGAGTCCAATGAGGGAGGTCTCGTCCGCGAACTTGATCAGCTTCACGGAGTCGTGGCTGGAGGTGCAGTGGTTGGTGTACAGGGAGAAGAGCAGGGGAGAAAGAACACAGCCCTGTGGGGCTCCTGTATTTATAATCCGAGAGTCCGAGACATTCTTCCCCAGACGCACTCGCTGCTTCCTGTCCGTCAGGAAGTCAGTGATCCACCTGCAGGTGGAATCGGGCACGTTGAGCTGGGAGAGCTTGTCCTGGAGCAGGGATGGCAGGATTGTGTTGAAGGCAGAGCTGAAGTCCACGAACAGGACCCTGGCGTAGGTCCCCGGGGAGTCCAGGTGCTGTAGGATGTGGTGGAGGGCCAGGTTAATGGCGTCGTCTACAGATCTGTTGGCTCTGTAGGCGAACTGCAGGGGGTCCAGGAGGGGGGAGGTGAGGGACTTGAGATGGGAGAGGACCAGGCGTTCAAATGACTTCATGACGACAGACGTAAGTGCTACAGGTCTGTAGTCGTTGAGTCCTATGATCCTGGGCTTCTTCGGGACGGGGAATTCATTGTTTCTTCGAGATTTTAGAGTAGAGGAGCAGGGAACAGTCAAAAAAGGGTGTTTGTACTAAAGAACGTAGAAGAAAAAAATTATGTAGTATAAACGTAGCCCATAGAATGAAAATTATTTAGTAATTTAGTATTATTTACTCACACTGTTCAACACACCGGCAACAGCATCAGCAACAGCAGCGCTCAAAACTCTTCTGTGATAGTGTTGTGGAATTTCTAAGGAGTGAAATACACAATATTAAATATAAAATAAACAACAAGAGCTGTAATTCAAATCAAAGTGTGGTTTATTATCTCAGTATATGTATACATATACAGGAAATACAACCGTGTAACCGCGTAGCAGGTCCCGGGTAGATCTGCTCTTAGTGCTCATTCTCTCTCATATTTATAGGATGGAACAAACAGAAGAGTCTATCTATGGCGTCTCTGAGTCCGAGATTAAGTGGCAGCTATTGCCCAAACCCCCCTCTCTTCTGACGTCTTACTCTGATAGACTCTGATATTACTCTGATATTACTCTGATATTAGGAAGAATAGTCAGTCTGACCGGTGAGCCCGCTCTTCTTGCCCCTGATAACAAGCTAGTATCTGCCTCCACCCCGTCACTGGCCTCGCGTCCCTACAGAACAACAGTTTAGTTAGTTTGAACAGATTTACTAGCTTTGAACTTTGTCCCAGATATCCTATTTCATCATTAGATTCATTCTCAAGTTAAATTGATTTATAATCCCAGTTAGATTTCTATAACAATTCACCCTTTTGATAATATAAACCCTGTTTATCTTAATCAACTTAATTCTGGCTATAGAAATTACAATTATAAATCACAGGAACAAATTCATCAACAAGAGAGAGAATGTGAGCATTTTGAATAAGTCACAGTTTGATTACAGAACAAAAAGGAAATTAAGGAAACCACACTTATTTTCTTGATTACATTAATCACACTGGCTGGGTCACAGACCCCGACTCAGGGGGGGCAAAGCGTTACTGGACCTGACGGTCATCAGCAGACCTCCACCCCTCCCCACGCCGACACCTGTAACCCTAGCCTACAACCCGGACATGGGTGTACTCTTCATCCTCAGAGTCTGAAATATAATCACGCTCTTTCTCAAAATACTGGATGGCTAGGACCCCCGGTTTTGGCTGTATATTATTTCATTTTTTCATTTCATTTTCAACCCCTTTATTTGTCCATTTCTGGGTCGGGGGGGTGGCAATGAGAGCTGCCACCCAATGCTCATAGCACCAGTCCCTCGCTGATCTTCTGCAGGGGGTGAGTCCACAGGAAGATGGCTGCTCCGTCAGTTGAGAAACCGCCTTGATCTTTCAGCGGGGGGCTTCAGGCAACGTGGGGTTAAGTGTCTTGCCCAAGGACACAACGACAGCAGTCATCAGTGGGAGCAGTTGGAGTAGGTCCCATGGTGGGAATCGAACCCATGAACCCCAGGCCCAAAGGCCAATGCTCTACCAACTGAGCTACTGTCGCTGTTTATTAATGGAGGTAAAATGGGCGGTGAAAACTCTGCTCAAAATTTTCAGTGCGCAAGGGATGACACACGAAAATACCACCATCCCTACAAACAAAATGGAGGCTATGTTGATCAGCAAGTGTCGCCAAGAGGAAGTCAGCCAGCCGGACCATGAAAATGGACCGCTCGCTTCCTCCCGCTCCATTGCATCTCGGAGCCGGGTTAAGTTGGCTATTCCCTGCTCAATCAAACCTCCATCCTCCTCGTTAGCTGGGATGTATGTGCAGCAGGATTTTCCCACCCTGGCACAAACACCACCAGTAGACGCGGTCAAATGGTCCAGCACCAGGCGGTTCTGGAGGGCCACTGCTCTCAAGCCATGGAGCTCAGCACGCTGTGCCTCCCAGACTGAGACTGTGGTGTTTATAAATGCTGAAAACCGATAGCTGAATGTTTCCATTCTCAGCATCAGTTTCCCCACCCCCAGACTTGGGAACAGGGCCAGCATCACCTTCTCCCCTGTGGTCCAGATCTTATGGTCATCTGGCACGTCAGAGCCCCACAGTGGGTCGTGAGGCGGCATGACCAAGGGAGTGTCCCGCTTTACCCTGGGGCTAAGTGGCTCATGGGCGGAGATAATGTACGTGTGGTCCGCGGGCACGGCAGCAGCACATCTGCCGATCCATCCTGCCGGCAGACAATCATACATACGGTAACCACACAGGAACATATGGCCTTCCACTGGGTTGGTACCAAACATGTCTGGAACAGTGAGGTAGGCGGCACACTTAGAGTTGGGGCTGGCCTGGGCTGGTTAAACCTGTGTGTACCATACATGTGTGTGCATGGGGTGTATACTGCCGAACAATACTCCAGGGAGATTTTGCCTACAAATACGGGGTCTAGACCCATGCCAGCCTCTCGAAGTGGCATCTCAGAAATGGTTTGGGCGTAGCAAATAAACTTGGAGCCTGGCTGTATATGCACAGGCCCAAAAAGGGGCTCTTGTCCAGGCCTCTCCCCCACCTTAAACACAGGGGCAGACCTGACAGTGGGGCCCTCGTGGGTGAGCAGATCTGGGATACTCATCTTAAAAATGGATGCCTCACACTTTTCTGACCTCCTGTGCTTTCCACATGGGGTCAGAGTGGGTGGAAGCATCAGAGTTAGTGCACTGATTATCAATGCTTGAAAACCCTAGCATGTATGTGTACCACAAACCAATGCTAAGTTGTGCTAATCCTGAAACGTACACAAAACAGTTTCAAAAGCCCGTTTTGACGCAATGCTGAGATAGCGTCTCTCAGTCCACCCCCATCCTCGGGGTGGGCGTCCCGGCCTCCAGGTCAGACCAGCCGATTGTCCCAGTCTCTGACTCCGCTTCGTGGAAAAGCGGGGAACAATATACCTGACCCATGGCTCAGAGCTTCTATCTGTGTAACACCTGGTCAGAAGGCAGACCAAGTTTTTTGTGGGGACCCTCAAGGTCCCTCCGGCCGTTCAAGATACAAGATTCATTTATTTGGCCATGTGCAGTTAAAAAAAAAACCACATTGGAATACATTCGCAAGAAAGGCACTCCGTGTGCACCGACAGAACAAAAACACGACACAATGCAATACAAAACACACATACACTGAACATAAAACAATAAAAAAACAGCTGACACTGTGGCACCGATCAACAAAACAATACAAGGGGTAAAAGCAGTTTAAAAGCAGGTAAAATCAGAAATTAAAATGCTCTGTTTAGGCACCTAACAGCCTGTGGGAAGAAGCTGTTAGCATAGCGAGATGTCTTGCATCTCAGTGACCGATATCTTCTGCCAGAGGGAAGAAGCTGGAACATGGCTTTCCCAGGGTGGCCAGAAGAGTCGTTGATGATTTTAAGAGCTTTGTTTAAAAGTCTGGATCTGTAAAGAACCTCCAGAACAGGAAGCTCACAGCCCACGGTCCTCTTTGCAGAGCGGAGCACCTTGTTTAAAGCTCTCTTTTCTTTATCTGTGATGTTTCCAAACCACACAGACACAGAACCAACAAGTAAACTCTCAATGGTGCAGCGATAAAAATTAAGCAGAATCTTAGAATTAGTGGTAAATTCTCTAAGTTTCCGCAAAAAGAAGAGCCGCTGACGAGCTTTCTTAACAACCCGGTCAGTGTTTTTAACCCATTTCAGGTCGTTAGACAGAGTTAAACCCAGGAACTTGCACTCCTCTACGATCTGCACCTGGGAGTTGTCAAAAGTTGCTCGTTGGGGAGCAAGCCTTCCTGCTTCGGCTCCACTTCTGCGTTGGAAGTCGGGCACTGCCGCCCCCACTTCTTTGCTGCATCCTGCGTTGGAGAAAGTCCTCAGACCCTTCTCGTTGGTCCCCTTTGGCTCTGGGCAGCTGGGGTCCACCTGCCGTGGGCTGGACCCATGATGGGGCATCGACCCTCGCGGTGGGGTGCCCCTGGCATTTTTGGTTAGGGCCCCTCCTGGCATTCGCCGGACTCAGACCCCTCCTATGGCTCGACCCTCGTGGCCAAGGCGTGATGGCGCTCTGTGTCTCCCTCTTGGAGATGTGATCCCTCCTCTCATGGAGAGGTTGGTCACGTTTCTGAAACAATGTTTTGGCAAAAGGTTATGGCCAAAGCAATTTCCTAGTCTGTGACTTCCTGTTACTTACATGGCAATAAAAAGGATTCTGCTTCTGGTTATTATCCCAGAAGAGCATTTTTTTTAAAATAATTGCATTTCCTGTGTTTCAACCGTATTATTCTCTGATCTGTGTTGGTGAATCGACACCTTTGTGAGGTCCTCTGAGTAAACTGCTGTTGTGATTTAGAACAATGTGATTGATGTGATTTGGACTGAATTTAAGTGAAAATGTTCTGAAGGCTGAAAGGTCAAAGTTAATAGTGTTTAAGGCTAAAAAAATTAAATTTGATTCAATGTATTCTTGTATTGCCCTAAATCACAACAGAAGTTCGTCAGAGGACATAACTTGTAGTTGGTGTAGTAGGCCCCTCCAGACAGAAGCAGTATCGTTGTTACCAAACTGCTCTTGTAGTCGTTCTCTGTGCCGGGACTTTGCTGCTTTCAGTTCTTTCCTGAACTGATATTTAGCTGCTTTGTAGCCGCTGCGGTCCCCCTCCCTGAAAGCAGACTCCTTTGCTTTCCTGAGCTGCCGGAGTTTAGCAGTGAACCAGGGTTTGTCGTTGTTATAGATGACCCTGGTCCTTGTTGGAATGATGCTATCCTCACAGAAGTGAATGTATGACGTCACAGTGTCCGTGTAGTCATCCAAACTATCTGTGGCAGCTCTGAAAAGGTCCCAAAAGTACATTAGGTCATTTCCATATGATACTCAGGCGTTTCTCTACAGCTAGTGATTTAAAGTGATACATCTGTGAGCAGTCACAAAGACATGAAAGACAGAGAGACGTTCCTCCCATTGTCTTAGATATAAAAAGGCAAAGCAGAGTATTAGAGGCTCAGACCAGAGTCATCACTATGAAGACCTTCAGGCTCCTTCTGCTCTCTCTTCTCTGTGAGTAACATACACTTTAGCTTTTATCTCCAACTCTTCACAGCTTTTAGTGACGTCTTTGTCATTTACAGATGTCAGTGTTAGATCAGAATTATGGAACGTTCATCAAGGAGAGACTGTTACTTTGTCGTGTTCAAACTACTCTAAAGAAGAATCTCAAGTGGACTGGATTTTTCTGGGAGCTGGATCTAAGTCTCGCAGCATTGCATCAGTTTTTGGATCTGACGGTGAACCATCAGTTTGTGATGGATCAATAGACGGGAGGTTTCACATGAGCTCCAATAAAACTGATGTGTTTCTGAGAATCCAGAAGTAAAGCTCTCTGACTCCGGTCGGTACGGCTGTAGATTCTATAAGTCCAGGAGTCGAAACATAACCCTCTTATTAATATTTACAGTCTTTGGTTCTATCCAGGCCGAGCTGGTGGACACAGGGCTCAACACATATTATCATCAGTTCTTGTATGAACTAAACTAATCCTTATTTCCAGGCCCCTTCAGTGGAGTATGTCCAATGGCCGTCACGTTTGGGCTTCTGAGTGGAATTCTTTCTGTCGTTGTGGCTGTTCTTGCCCTGAAGAACAGAAGTCTTCAGAAAGGTACATTGGTGATTACTGATTGTGCAAGTTTTCTCACTCAAAGTAAAAGAGGAGAGTCATTAAATGTTATTACGTTAGAAGCTCCAAACTCTTCCCACGTGTTTCCCTATTTACATACAGTTACGTGATGTGATACTCTACAAAGTTATAGTAACACAGAAAAAATGTAACATCGATTTCTTGCGGAGAATGGAACTGTCACTGCCGTTGCAAATGGAGCCCCTGCTGGAGGAATTATGGTAAGGTTATAGGTTCTAGTTCAGGGTCTACTGTAGTCTTAATGATCAGGGCTATTCACCTGCTGTCCATCGCCTTATCAAGGCTTGACAATGTTTACCTCGACCAGTAAACAAATGAAACTGAACACACAGGAGGAGGACAAGAGGCCACCTGCAGGAGGATCAAAGAGGACACCTGCAGGAGATCAAAGAGGAACACCAGAGGATGGATAAGAGAGGAACACCGGCAGGAGGTATCAGAGAGGAACACATCTGCAGGAGGATCAAAGAGGACCACCTGATCACCAGAGGCAAACCTGCAGGAGGATCAAAGAGGTAAACCTGCAGGAGGATCAGAGAGAACACCTGCAGGAGAGATCAAAGAGGAAAAACCTGCAGGGAGGATCAGAGAGGAACACCTGCAGGCGATCAAAGAGGAAAACCTGCTGTAGGATCAGAGAGGACCACCCTGCAGGAGGATCAAAGAGGAAACCTGCAGGGAGGATCAGAGAGGAACACCTGCACGAGGATCAAAGAGGAACACCTGCATGAGGATCAAAGAGGAAACCTGCTAGAGGATCAATGAGGCACACCTGCCGAGGATTCAAAGTTGGAACACCTTGCAGGATGAATCAAAGAGGAACACCTGGCCCAAGGATCAAAGATCGACCACCTTGCAGGAGGACAAAGGACAGGACTGGAGCTGCTGCATTTTGAATGTACAGCAGCTGTTTTTTTAAAGCTGTTTGGACAGACCTGTGAGCAGGCCATTGCAGTAGTCTAACCTACTGGAGACAAATGCATGGATAAGAATCTCCAAGTCTGCTTTAGACACTATGTTTTTGATCCTGGCAATGTTTTTTAGATGGTAAAAAGCTGCTGATGTTACTGATTTGATGTGGCTATTAAAATTTAAGTCTGAGTCCAGTATTACCCCTAGATTTCTGACCTTGTTTGAAGGTTTTAGGGAGAGAGACTGTAGGTGACAGATGACGCTCTCTCTTTGTTTTTGGGGACCAAAGACAATCCTTTCAGTTTTGTCTGCGTTTAGCTGAAGGAAGTTGTTTTGCATCCACTCACTGATCTGTTGGATACAGTGAAGGAGTGAGTCCACTGGTCCATGTTCTCCTGCAGTCAGTGAGACATAGATCTGAGTGTCGTCTGCATAGTTGTGATAGGACACTTTGTTTCTGCGTATTAACTGACCTAACGGCAACATGTAGAGATTGAACAGAAGAGGTCCCAGGATCGACCCCTGTGGTACTCCACAGGTCAGGGCCATATGATCTGTAAGAGGATCTCATGGTCGACAGTGTCAAAGGCAGCACTCAGATCTAACAAGATTAAGATTGAGACTTTGCCTGCGTCAGTGTTCAGCCGGATATCGTTTGTAACCTTAACGAGAGCAGTCTCAGTGCTGTGGTGGGGTCTAAAGCCGGACTGAAACATATCAAATGAGTTGTTGATTATAAGAAATCTAGTAAGCTGTAGGTAGACAACTTTCTCAAGGACTTTCCCCATAAATGGCAGATTTGAGATGGGACGATAGTTGTTAAGTACCGTAGCATCCAGACTGCTCTTTTTTAGCAGGGGCCTGATGACTGCAGTTTTCAGGGCCTTTGGGAATATTCCAGAATGAAGGGACATGTTTACTATCTGTGTGAGTGAAGGTAACAGACTGCTCAGAACAGACTTCAGAAATCTAGTGGGTAGTACATCCAGGCTGCATGTGGAGGAGCTCAAACTGGAGATTATTTCTTGGACAGTTTGATCATTTACAGGTGCAAAGTGAGTTAGCTCAAAGAGCCTTTCTGGCTGTTGGATGGTTATCTGTGGATTGGAGACAATGGCGTTTTTGATGCCTTGAACCTTGTCATTGAAAAAATTTGGAAACTCATTACATTTACGTTTGGAAATAAGCTCTAATGGCATTTGAACAGGGCGGTTTGTTAATCTATTAACTGTTGAGAACAGAACACGCAGATTGTTACTGCAGCCTTCAATCATTTCAGAAAAATACCTTTCTCTCGTACTACGTAGCACCCGGTTCATACAAGTAAAATGAATGGCTGAATACCAAAGAGCTATACACTGAGGTACAGCATGACTATATTGGTTGAGCTGAAGTTGGCTGTATGATGGATGGAAAGTGCCTCAATGGATAGTTTGTTGGTTTGGACTGTTTTAACCTTAATCTTTAGACCCAAGTAACAGTGTTTGTTTTACAGAAGTGGACTCTGGCCTTGGCCCGACTCACAGGGAACAGGTCAGTCTTCATGGTAATCATATATTTTCCCCATGATCCTGACGTCAGTTTAAATTGTTGATGCACAGGCTGAAGATGAGGTGACGTATGCAGGAGTGAAGGTGGTGCCCAGAAGTGCCTCAGTCTCACAACGACTGGACCCAGTGGTTTATTCTGAAGTGAAGAAACGACAAGACAGACCACCGAGATGTTACTAGACTCCTGTCACACTTTTTTTATACGTCATCCTAAATATTTTCAGTTAAACAAATACCACAAAATAATTCAATCTTTTAGCTGTAATGGTTGTGATCAGAAAGAGTGGTCTTGTGAAAGTTCCCAAGAGGATCCACACTTAGAGAAACAATTTTTCTGTGAAGAGAACCTGGTCTGAACCTGGTCTGAACCTGGTCTGTATTGGACCCACTGCAACATTTTTGGTCCTTAACAAAAGAAGATAAACAGATTCTTTATATGCTCACTGCTGAGGTGAATTTTTGCATTTTCAGACATAACAAAACCTTTGAGGAATGGGAAGAAGAGGAGAACCAAGAAGAAGAACGACAAAAGCAATGACACATGGAGTTAACATCGGAGGAACTGACCAAATGGGCTGTCGCTCTTTTAGTAAGATAGCTATTTTCAAGACTTTAAGAGACATGCTGATCCAGACCTAAATTTGATTAAATAAGTAAATATAGTAAATTGTCTGTGGGTGAATAAAAGTAGTTCCGATATCTCTTAACAACGGTTGCTAAGGCAAAAGTTTTGTTTTCAGACTTGTTAAATAATCCCTAAACTTAAGCATATTTGGCCAGTTCAGTAAAGTCAATAAATATTTGTTACACACTTAAATACACGGTTGTGTTTAACCAGTGTTTTGGACGACAGAGTGTGAAATGTTTTATCAGTGTCTTTTAGAGGAAAGTTGTTCTCTCTCGACTGTTCTCTCTCAGAAGCAGGTTATTTTTACACCTCTGCTGTAACCGCACAGAAGTTTCCACCTCATCACCAGCAGCATCTCGGCCTCGAGTTCAGACTGAGCTGTCCAAGTGAAACCATGTGTCACAAACCACCAAAGCTTTGAGTTCTCTGAGTTCCATGTGACCAGCAAGACTCATTCTCCACCTCCTCCAACAGTATCATAGCCTCTTCTGAACCACCTGACTTTGTACAGTCCAGTTGTACAGTCTAAAAACGTGTACAATATTAGAGAATGCACCTTCTGTGAACAGGCAACCGTGCTTCCATCCCTCTGTGGAGGCAAAAGTGAAATACCCTTGACAATTGTAAAACGCTAACTGCACTGTCTATAAAGATTACTTACTGGACTTCCATCGGATTCTTTTCTGTTTGTTATCCTGCAACTGAAATGTCCAAACAAGGTCCAAACTCCCCCAAACCATGATTATAGCCTGAGTGTAGTGAGTGCAGGGAATGTGTAGATTAATTACTTGTTGAAGCTTTCACCTTTGAATGTCACAGATATTATGTTTACAAGAAATTAACATTGGAGAACTGCAACAACTATGTCACTAAGAAAATATAGCAATTACTTAAAGGGGGAAACTTAGAGTATTGTTCAAAAGTCCATTTATTTCGGGAATTCCACAACTGCAGTGATATCAAACCTGTGTGTCGTAGGTCTGAGTGCTGCTGCAGCTGTCAAAAGCCGTACATACACTGTTAAATACAGCGGCAGAGGACGCTGAGGGACAGGAGCAGGACAGAGGGCTACGGAAAGACCGTGGGAGACCTCTGCACCAAGGCAGGCAGGCAGGCAGACATTGTTTGAACCGACTTTACAAAGATCAGAGAATCAAACCGTTCAAACACAGGAAATGCATTAATAATGAACACATTGAAGACATTGGTCCATAAGCATATCCTGGGGTAGTGGCAAAGTGTCGGGAGTCAGAAGACTGGGGGGAGAGCAATGTCGGAATGCCATGACAATATGTATAACTCCAATATACATGAATCATAATGAAAACAGCTTTGAGTGTGAGAATGACTACAACATTACATAAACCTGAGAAACGTCGATGTTTATGTTATGTCCCCTTTAAGTTACGCACCAGTGCAGAGAGAGGTGTCACAAGAGGGGAAGCGCTTCAGAGATGGTTTCGAGGTTTAGTTCAACCATATCTTTTCAGAGATCAACTCATGAGCCTTTGCAAAACATTTGCAAAGTCGTGCTTCCAAGTCAGCATCAACTCCTTTCGTCCAATCAGAATGCTCCGCTCCCCACCTTATATTTCCACCCTGCCCACATCCACTCAGTCTTCTCACGATGGTGATGCTGAACGCTGTCCTCCTCCCTGTGCTCTGGACGCTGTGTGAGTTTGAGCAGATCTGCAGAGAAAACTGGGACATTTACAGACTTTTCAGAACCTGTGTGTTGTTTTTGTGTTGTTTTTCAGGTGCGGCTCAGACACGACAAGTCCAGCAGCTCGAATGTTTGAAAAGGGCAAAGCTCGGAGAGACCGTGGTTCTGAAGTGTCTGACCAAGAGTGTTTGGAGGAAAAGGGTTTGGTATAAACAAAGCACCAACAGGAATCTAAATCTGCTCGCGTCAACAAATATGGTCAATGAAGAAAAAGAGTTTGATGAAATTTCAGTCACGTTTACTCCAAATGAAACCAATTTAACCATAAAGAACATGAAAACAGACGATGTCGGCACCTACTACTGTGGAATACTGAATTCTAATGATGTTGCTTTTGGATCGGGCACTGTTCTGGAGCTGGATCAGGACTCAGAGCCTCTTCAGTCTGTAGTCCAGACCCCAGACTTGATCAGACTGAAGTCTGGAGACTCTGTGACTCTCAGCTGCTCATTCAACACCAGCCACAGGGAACCAGAACTCACCAGTGTCACTTGGGTTCTGAGTGCTCCTGAGAGCTCCTGTCATCGTGCGAACACTGGAGGAACCTCATGTGTTCAACATATGACCCTGAATGACGTCAGTTCTGCTCATGACGGGACCTACCTCTGTGTGGTGACTGTCTGTGGACTCACACAGATCAGGAATGGGACCAGGATACAAGTGGACGGTAAGATAAACTACTTTCTTACAAATGGGTTAGATGGTTCAGCTTTTGTCCTGCCTCAATTCAGAATCAGAATCAGAGTCATTTTTATTGCCACGTAAGTAACAGGAAGTCACAGACTTGGAAATTGCTTTGGCTCAGTGCAAGAGTCAGAGAGAGATAATAAAAAATAAAGAATAAAAAACACTTCTAAGGAATACATTTAAAGTTACAGTTACTATTTACAATATACAGTGCACATGGTGCACACAATGTAAGGTGACAGCAGTACAGTGAAGTAAAGTGACGTATGATCAGTGTTGGGCACGTTACTTTGAAAAAGTAATTAGTTATAGTTACTAGTTACTTCTCCCAAAAAGTAACTGAGTTACTAACGGAGTTACTCCACTATAAAAGTAACTAGTTACCAGTAAAAGTAACTATTGCGTTACTTTTTCGTTTTGTTCTGGAACATAATGTGCACCCGACGTGCGCATTTTTACCTTTAACAGTGCCAATATTTCCATCTAGAAAAGGCTGTTCTGCTGCTGAAGTCCTGTTCACTCTTCATCTCTCTCTGTGCTGTAAGCACTAAACATCAACACGCTCCACTGTGAATGTGGAAACACCGGTGACGAGCGGTGAGGCTGGTGAAGCACTGACTTCAGTCCAATCAGATGAACATATACATCATATAAATCAAGTGGACAATTTGTTTGGCTACAGCAAAATATGTTTTATGCCCGCATTGTTTGTTCATACAAAACGCAAAACTATGAGTTATGGGTCTTACCTTATAGCTATACCTTATAAATGACCTGCACAGTCCACTTCGGTTCAGACCAGTTCCTTGTTTAAATCCAGTTAATGGTTTGAGCGTAGATATGTAATCCTCCATTTGGAAATGAGTCCAATGAGTTTTAAAAAGTAAAACAAAACGCGTGTGTCCTCCATAAACTCCTGTGTTTTGCTAGCGGCAGCCGAGTGCATCCAATTTCTAAAATCAACCGTCTTACACTTCACCTCTCTTTCTTATCATTCCTATAGTAATTGAAAAATTACCCTATGTGCATTTTAGATTATGTAAAAATGTGTTATATGTATGTTAGCCAAACCTGTTGCTGCCCTTAGCAGATAAACCAGGAAGAGCAAGGAGCTTATCGATGGAATTGTATGCAGCAGACTTCTGCGCTCACACGCGCTCCTCTGTGGCTGACCTCACGGTGATACAAGCCGTGGTTGAGCGCGATTAAGACCCATATTTGTTTCAAAAACACAATTTATGAGCCATCCTCTCAACTGTAGACATGTAGATTGTAAAGGAAATATGATTTACATCAGCCAAAAATTGCTGAGAGGTTTTCTCATCCTCCCTTCTCTCATGACAACACGTTCATTGTGCGTCTTGAGTAACGCGCAGTAACGGGATGTCGGAAATGATAACGGCGTTATAGTTACTGTCAAAGTAATTAGTTAGATTACTCGTTACTGAAAAAAGTAACGCCGTTACTAGTAACGACGTTATTCCCATCACTGCGTATGATGGGCAGTAAAGTGACTTTATAAAGGGCGGGGGGACAGGTTAAGAAGTGTTCAAGAGTCCAACAGCAGAGGGGAAGAAACTGTTCTTGTGGCGGGAGGTTCTAGTCCTGTTGGACCGCAGTCTCTTGCCTGAGGGGAGTGGTTGGAATAGTCCATGTGCAGGTGAGAGGGGTCGGCTGTGATACGACCAGCCCGGCCTCGAGCTCGGGCGACGTACAGGTCCTGCAGCGATGGAAGGCTGCGGCCGATCACTTCCTCTGCAGAGACCACAATGCACTGTAGTCTCTGTTTGTCCCTGACTGTGGCTCCAGCGAACCACACGGTGATGAGGAGGTGATGGAGGAGGTGATGGAGGAGGTGATGGAGGAGGTGATGGAGGAGGTGATGTGGAGGTGATGGAGGAGGTGATGGAGGAGGTGATGGAGGAGGTGAGGATGGACTCGATGATGGCCGTGTAGAACTGCACCAACATCTGTGCAGGCAGCTTGGCTTTCCTGAGCTGCCGCAGGAAGTACATCCTCTGCTGGGCCTTCTTGATGAGGGAGCTGATGGTCGGCTCCCACTTGAGGTCCTGGGTGATGGTGGTGCCCAGGAAACGGAAGGACTCCACAGAGGTGATGGGGGAGTCCATCACGGAGGGTGGGGGCGGGGGGACAGTGCTCTTCCTGAAGTCCACAATCATCTCCACTGTCTTCTGGGCGTTCAGCTCCAGGTTGTTACCACTGCACCAGGACACCAGCCGGTCCACCTCCCTCCTGTAGGAGACACCAGGACACCAGCCGGTCCACCTCCCTCCTGTAGGCGGACTCATCGTTGTTGGAGATGAGTCCAATGAGGGTGGTGTCGTCCGCGAACTTGATCAGCTTCACAGAGTCGTGGCTGGAGGTGCAGTGGTTGGTGTACAGGGAGAAGAGCAGGGGAGAAAGAACACAGCCCTGTGGGGCTCCTGTATTTATAATCCGAGAGCCCGAGACATTCTTCCCCAGACGCACTCGCTGCTTCCTGTCCGTCAGGAAGTCAGTGATCCACCTGCAGGTGGAATCGGGCACGTTGAGCTGGGAGAGCTTGTCCTGGAGCAGGGATGGCAGGATTGTGTTGAAGGCAGAGCTGAAGTCCACAAACAGGACCCTGGCGTAGGTCCCCGGGGAGTCCAGGTGCTGTAGGATGTGGTGGAGGGCCAGGTTAATGGCGTCGTCTACAGATCTGTTGGCTCTGTAGGTGAACTGCAGGGGGTCCAGGAGGGGGGAGGTGAGGGACTTGAGATGGGAGAGAACCAGGCGTTCAAATGACTTAATGACGACAGACGTAAGTGCTACAGGTCTGTAGTCGTTGAGTCCTATGATCCTGGGCTTCTTCGGGACGGGGAATTCATTGTTTCTTGGAGTTTTTAGAGTAGAGGAGCGGGGAACAGTCAAAAAAGGGTGTTTGTACTAAAGAACGTAGAAGAAAAAAATCATGTAGTATAAACGTAGCCCATAGAATGAAAATTATTTAGTAATTTAGTAATATTTACTCACACTGTTCAACACACCAGCAACACACCAGCAACAGCACCAGCAACAGCATCAGCAACAGCAGTGCTCAAAACTCCTCTGTGATAGTTTCAGTAACACCACAAATGAATATGCGACATCAGTAACATCAGTCTCATATCAATGGCAACATGTTGTTGGTAAAAGCGTGTGGTTTCTCAGACCATGTCTGCAGCCTGTATGAGAGTTTGGACCAACTCTCCCTCGCGGCTGCGATGCTAATGCCATGTTGTTAGCACTCAGACTCAGGTAGCAGCACTAACCTCTTGCTCTGGGCACAAACAGACTGCTGTTTTTCCTTATTCCTGTAGTGGGAGCCACTACAGACACACTCGACTCGCTGCTGAGCTCAGCGCTGCGGCGTCGCGGTTTGGCGCGGATTTTTTATTTTTTTAATTATCATTATCATTTTACATAAATGAGCCGCGGGCCGTGTCAAATGTCTTGGCCGGCCGCATGAATGACACCCCTGTTCTAGAGGGTGTAGCTGAAGTCCCACACGCCACTTGCACTTTTGCAGACTAAATTCAGGGCTACCCAGAAGATTTACCCATAGACCTTAATGTTCTTCTAAACCCGTACGCCACAATGCTTCCCTCTACAGTCAGCTCTGACGTTCATGTGTTGATCTCGGTCTGCGAAAGTACCACAAACACCACAGACTACACAGACCGGGACCAGACGCCAAGATGCGTCACTGCTGCTAATATTCTGGCCTCTAAGTTGCGAGCATGCACCAACGAGATTTGAACTGTCAGACATCGTGGATCGTTGAGCTTTGTAATACACACTGTCCCGGTGTTTACTTTTGAATGCGATGGAAACGGCAGCAAGTCCTAAGTGTCTTTGAAACAGGTGTTGTTTTTGTGCTTTATAATTGTTATTTTTGGAAATGATTGATAGACTGTATGTGGTGGTGGTGGTGAGATGGACCCCTAATGTATAAGCTTCTGCTTCTGGGAGTTCCATTTTCACAATGTAGCACATGTACTTTCAGGGACTGTGTGAATTGTGAATAAACTAAACTAAAAACTAATTTGAGATCCGTCCACGTCTCTGTTCTGGGACTGAGATCAGGGCTTTGTGATGGCGGCTCAAAAACACAGACTTTGTATTTCTTACGCCTCATTGTAACTGTTTTGGCCGTACACGTTTATTAGATTAGATTCTTCTTTCGTCATCACCGTGTTCAGAACAATGCACAAAATGTGGTTTAGCATCGAAGCAGAAGGCTGTCTTAACGTTGTTTCAATATTTACACATTTCTTACTGCAACAGAAACAGTAGTAAACGGGATAGCAGTAAAATATAACAAAAATAAGTATTCTATGAAGTACTGTATGTTTTGTGCCTTACTCTTCTCTACTTTTGACTTGTTTGCACCGAGAGCCAAAGCAATTTCCTAGTCTGTGACTTCCTGTTACTTACATGATTATTTTTAAATAATTGCATTTCCTGTGTTTCAACCGTCTTATTCTCTGATCTGTGTTGGTGAATCGACACCTTTGTGAAGTCCTCTGAGTAAACTGCTGTTGTGATTTAGAACAATGTGATTGATGTGATTTGGACTGAATTTAATTGAAAATGTTCTGAAGGCTGAAAGGTCAAAGTTAATAGTGTTTAAGGCTAAAAAGATTAAATTCAATTCAATGTATTCTTATATTGCCCTAAATCACAACAGAAGTTCGTCAGAGGACAACATTGTAGTTGGTGATCTCCCGTAGGCCCCTCCAGACAGAAGCAGTATCGTTGTTACCAAACTGCTCCTGTAGTCGTTCTCTGTGCCAGGACTTGGCTGCTTTCAGTTCTTTCCTGAACTGATATTTAGCTGCCTTGTAGCCGCTGCGGTCACCCTCCCTGAAAGCAGACTCCTTTGCTTTCCTGAGCTGCCTGAGTTTAGCAGTGAACCAGGGTTTGTCGTTGTTATAGATGACCCTGGTCCGTGTTGGAATAATGCTTTCCTCACAGAAGTGAATGTATGACGTCACAGTGTCCGTGTAGTCATCCAAACTATCTGTGGCACCTCTGAAAAGGTCCCAAAAGTACATTAGGTCATTTCCATATGATACTCAGGCGTTTCTCTACAGCTAGTGATTTTAAGTGATTACATCCATGAGCAGTCACAAAGACATGAAAGACAGAGAGACGCTCCTCCCATTGTCTTAGATATAAAAAGGCAAAGCAGAGTATTAGAGGCTCAGACCAGAGTCATCACTATGAAGACCTTCAGGCTCCTTCTGCTCTCTCTTCTCTGTGAGTAACATACACTTTAGCTTTTATCTCCAACTCTTCACAGCTTTTAGTGACGTCTTTGTCATTTACAGATGTCAGTGTTAGATCAGAATTATGGAACGTTCATCAAGGAGAGACTGTTACTTTGTCGTGTTCAAACTACTCTAAAGAAGAATCTAAAGTGGACTGGATTCTTCTGGGGACTGGATCTAAATCTCGCAGCATTGCATCAGTTTTTTGATCTGAAGGTGTACCATCAGTTTGTGATGGATTTACAGACGGGAGGTTTCACATGAGCTCCAATAAAACTGATGTGTTTCTGAGAATCCAAGAAGTAAAGCTCTCTGACTCCGGTCGGTACGGCTGTAGATTCTATATTCGATCACTTGTTTCCTCTCAAAAACATCTCTAAGGGATAGTCCAAAACTCGCTCTTGGTCCAAAACTTGCTCTTGGTCCAAAAGTGGCTCTTGGTCCAAAACTCGCTCTTGGTCCAAAACTTTCTCTTGGTCCAAAAGTGGCTCTTGGTCCAAAACTCGCTCTCGGTCCAAAAGTGATTCTTGGTCCAAAAGTGGCTCTTGGTCCAAAAGTGGCTCTTGGTCCAAAACTCGCTCTCGGTCCAAAAGTGATTCTTGGTCCAAAAGTGATTCTTGGTCCAAAAGTGGCTCTTGATCCAAAAGTGGCTCTTGGTTCCAGATGCTGTCGAAGTTGAGGGGAGTATATTTTTCGGACCTGTCTAGTTCAGCCGCCGTTGACTTTTAAAGGCACTCATGGAATGAAAGTGGCTCGTGCAGCTAACAAATGCGCAAATTCATCTTGGGGCTGCTCGCTGCCATTTTAAAAAGACCTCAGGAGGGAAACGTGTTGACACAAAAGTCGGCAGAGATAGGCGTCACTACATCCGTTAATATTTACAGTCTTTGGTTCTATCCAGGCCGAGCTGGTGGAAACAGGGCTCAACACATATTATCATAAGTTCTTGTATGAACTAAACTAATCCTTATTTCCAGGCCCCTTCAGTGGAGTATGTCCAATGGCCGTCACGTTTGGGCTTCTGAGTGGAATTCTTTCTGTCGTTGTGGCTGTTCTTGCCCTGAAGAACAGAAGTCTTCAGAAAGGTACATCGGTGATTGCTGATTGTGCAAGTTTTCTCACCAAAAGTAAAAGAGGAGAGTCATTAAATGTTATTAGAGTAAACTTCAACTGTGAGTGAAATGTGGAAAAAAGAAAGTAATGAAGTTTACAGTTTATGTGTACAATTGTGCAGAAATGTATTATTTGCCAAATAACAAAAGTTAAACTGAATATTTTGTCAATGCCGTCAATGGTTACGTTACAGAGGTGAATCGAGGGACCCCTGCTATTTTGGCCCATTCTTCCACACGGATCTTAGCTAGAGCTGTGATGTTTAAAGAGTGTCACTGAGAAACAGAAACTTTCCACTGCGTTGCTTCACAGCAATAAGGTGTTATTGGAATGTAGCGCCCCCTGCTGAATCCAGATCATGTCCAGGCCTTCTGTAGTTTTCTACTGAACATCTGGAAGATCCACAAGAAGCCTGGGAGAATATGAAGTGGTCAGATGCATCGGTAAAAACTTAGAAGAAATACCGAGTTGCATCCCATACACCTTACCCAAAGTGAAGCATGGAGGTGGAAACATGAGGATTCGGGGCTGTTTTTCTGCAAAGAGGACAGGACAAGTGATCTGTATAAAGTGAAAGATGAATGGAGCCATGTCTTGTGAGATTCTGGACAAAAACCTTCTTCTAACAGTGACAACATTGAAGATGAAACGTGACTCCAACACATCTGAACCAGTGGCTCCGTAAAATGTATTTTGATTTTACATCTTTGACTATTTTGTTATAGCGTAGTCAGTCAGTATCTTAAAAAAGTTGCCTCATGACCCACTAAAAATAATCCCAGGACGTACTTTTGGGTCTCATTCTAAAAGTTCACTGAAATAACAAAGGTGTCATTAAACTGGAGCCAGACTTGATGTAAACGGGCGATAGCTTTGTCTTCTCGTTTCTACAGTTCATGCTTTCTCCCTCACTTTGGGTTTTTTTAAAGTCCTAAATGTGCGACACAATAAATATACCATGATAACACTGCTAAGAGAACACTGTCCTCCTTGTTTCAGTCATTAAAGAGCTGCAGGAAAACTCCAACGAGGTGAGATTGTAATTCTTTCGACTGATATCATAGTTTTACCATATTTAATGTTTTCAAAACCGTTGGATTTCAGATTGAGTCCCAGGAGCTGAACTACGCAGAAGTCAATGTCAGAGCTGCACAAAGACCACAGCGTTCACTCAGACAGATGGAGCCTCATGTGGTTTACTCGAGTACAAGATGAAGTCTCTGGACAGTCTCGTATTGAAGTGGACTAAAGCAGGACGATACTGATGCATGTAGCAACTGGACTCTTCTTTCTCTTCTGTTCTGTCTCTCACTCCTCACTGAGATGGGGGAATGTCGCAGGAGGCACATGCAAGACCTATTGTACATTACTTTAGTGGTCGGGAAAACCGTAGCACCCGGAGATAACCTACGCAGACACGGGGGGAGTACAGATTCTGGTCTCTCTCATGGACATTACATGGAACTCTATCTCGATACACAACTGTTGTCAGGTCTGTGCCATGTTGCTGAGACCACATTGGACTTCCTGTTTAACCACATTTATCCGTCTCTGAGAGAATAGAAAGTAGACGCTGACAGAGTGGAACAAAGTAATAAATATTTTCCCATTTTAAACTATTTTGAGATTGGATTTTGTCCATGGCATTAATATAAGTCATAAAACATCATTAAACATAGATTTAAAACACTAGACCAATCGTTACAAGGTTAAACAATGACACAGATGATTTATTTGTTTATTTTGGCTTTAACATTTCTTTGGTGTTTTATATTTCTGTGATAATAAATATAAGGATTTACTTGTAGAATGGAAAAGACATGATCAGAATGAGCAGAACACTCCCATCCAGTGGTAGGAGTGAGAAACTACATCTAGTTGGAATATTCTAAAATCCAACCATCTAATTCAAAACAAAGAGATTAGACCGATTCCCAAAAGTAATTTAGAATCAATATGTTTGTTTTGAAGGGGACATCAATAACTTAAGGACCATAAAGGAGGTTGGAGGCATGATACAGACAATCCTCTTCATGTTGTTCTGTATCTTTGTAAAAACCTCATCATTCTTCTGTTGAACATGTTCCAGGTCATAGTCAAGAACTCGTCTTAGCGGGTTTGAAAACGGAGCATTCTGAACAGAAGGGGTGGGGGGACGTGTTTGTGACAGATGTTTTCATGGATAAAACTTCAACAGTTTTGGGTGAGGGAGCACAGTTCTGGATTATCTGTGTTGTTTAAAGGAAAGTCCTTCATGATTCAGGAGTTTCTCAAAAGAACAAAGTTAAAAGCTAGTTTGCCATGATGTGAAATGTGTGTATGAATATTCATCGAACCAAATTTCTCCAGTGTGGGATCAATGAAGTAAATATTCATCTTCTTTAAATGTGAGGCCAGTAGCATTAGAGGATGGCATGAAAGACAGAGAGACGCTCCTCCCATTGTCTTAGATATAAAAAGGCAAAGCAGAGTATTAGAGGCTCAGACCAGAGTCATCACTATGAAGACCTTCAGGCTCCTTCTGCTCTCTCTCTTCTCTGTGAGTAACATACACTTTAGCTTTTATCTCCAACTCTTCACAGCTTTTAGTGACGTCTTTGTCATTTACAGATGTCAGTGTTAGATCAGAATTATGGAACGTTCATCAAGGAGAGACTGTTACTTTGTCGTGTTCAAACTACTCTAAAGAAGAATCTCAAGTGGACTGGATTCTTCTGGGGGCTAGATCTAAATCTCGCTGCATTGCATCAGTTTTTGGATCTGACGGTGAACCATCAGTTTGTGATGGATTTACAGACGGGAGGTTTCACATGAGCTCCAATAAAACTGATGTGTTTCTGAGAATCCAAGAAGTAAAGCTCTCTGACTCCGGTCGGTACGGCTGTAGATTCTATAAGTCCAGGAGTCGAAACATAACCCTCGAACACACGATGTGGCTAAATGTCAGTAAGTAACACAATAATAAGAAACACATAAAGCCATTGGTCCTATGGGTTAAAAGTTGATCACAAACTTTTCTAAATTGAAATAAATCTAAATATTAAAGGAATAGGCCACCGTTTTTACATACTGACACATGTTCTTACCTTAGACTAGCTGATATGTACCTGTCTGGTCTGTGTCCGTGCGCTCTGTCATGCAAACGGAGCACAAACGCAGCTCCCGTTAGAAGCTCCCAAACTCTTCCACGTGTTCCCTATTTAAATACAGTTACGTGATGTGTTACTCTACAAAGTATAGTAACACAGAAATGTAACATCGATTTTCTCAGCGGACGAATGGAACTGTCAGTGACGTTGCAAATGGAGCCCCCTGCTGGAGGAATATGGTAAGGTATAGGTTCTAGTTCAGGTTCTACTGTAGTCTTAATGATCATTGCTATTCACCTGCTGTCCCATCGCCTGTATCAAGGCTTGACCATGTTACCTCGACCAGTAAACAATGAACACTGAACACACAGGAGGAGGATCAAAGAGGACCACCTGCAGGAGGATCAAAGAGGAACACCTGCAGGAGGATCAGAGAGGAACACCTGCAGGAGGATCAAAGAGGACCACCTGGAGGAGGATCAAAGAGGACCACCTGGATCACAGAGGAACACCTGCAGGAGGATCAAAGAGGACCACCTGCAGGAGGATCAAAGAGGACCACCTGGATCACAGAGGAACACCTGCAGGAGGATCAAAGAGGACCACCTGCAGGAGGATCAGAGAGGAACACCTGCAGGAGGATCAGAGAGGAACACCTGCAGGAGGATCAGAGAGGACCACCTGGATCACAGAGGAACACCTGCAGGAGGATCAGAGAGGACCACCTGCAGGAGGATCAGAGAGGAAAACCTGCAGGAGGATCAAAGAGGAACACCTGCAGGAGGATCAAAGAGGACCACCTGCAGGAGGATCAGAGAGAACCACCTGCAGGAGGATCAAAGAGGACCACCTGCAGGAAGATCAAAGAGGAACCGCAGGAGGATCAGAGAGGACCACCTGCAGGAGGATCAAAGAGGACCACCTGCAGGAGGATCAAAGAGGACCACCTGCAGGAAGATCAAAGAGGAACACCTGCAGGAAGATCAAAGAGGAACACCTGCAGGAGGATCAGAGAGGAACACCTGCAGGAGGATCAAAGAGGACCACCTGCAGGAAGATCAAAGAGGAACACCTGCAGGAGGATCAGAGAGGAACACCTGCAGGAGGATCAAAGAGGACCACCTGCAGGAGGATCAAAGAGGACCACCTGCAGGAGGATCAGAGAGGACCACCTGCAGGAGGATCAAAGAGGAACACCTGCAGGAGGATCAAAGAGGAACACCTGCAGGAGGATCAGAGAGGAAAACCTGCAGGAGGATCAGAGAGGAACACCTGCAGGAGGATCAAAGAGGATCACCTGCAGGAGGATCAGAGAGGACCACCTGCAGGAGGATCAGAGAGGACCACCTGCAGGAGGATCAGAGAGGACCACCTGCAGGAGGATCAGAGAGGACCACCTGCAGGAGGATCAAAGACGACCACCTGCAGGAGGATCAAAGAGGACCACCTGCAGGAGGATCAAAGAAGACCACCTGCAGGAGGATCAGAGAGGACCACCTGCAGGAGGATCAGAGAGGAAAACCTGCAGGAGGATCAGAGAGGACCACCTGCAGGAGGATCAGAGAGGACCACCTGCAGGAGGATCAAAGAGGACCACCTGCAGGAGGATCAAAGAGGACCACCTGCAGGAGGATCAAAGAGGACCACCTGCAGGAGGATCAAAGAGGAACACCTGCAGGAGGATCAGAGAGGAACACCTGCAGGAGGATCAGAGAGGACCACCTGGATCACAGAGGAACACCTGCAGGAGGATCAGAGAGGACCACCTGCAGGAGGATCAGAGAGGACCACCTGCAGGAGGATCAGAGAGGAAAACCTGCAGGAGGATCAGAGAGGAACACCTGCAGGAGGATCAAAGAGGAACACCTGCAGGAGGATCAAAGAGGACCACCTGCAGGAGGATCAGAGAGAACCACCTGCAGGAGGATCAAAGAGGACCACCTGCAGGAAGATCAAAGAGGAACACCTGCAGGAGGATCAGAGAGGACCACCTGCAGGAGGATCAAAGAGGACCACCTGCAGGAGGATCAAAGAGGACCACCTGCAGGAAGATCAAAGAGGAACACCTGCAGGAGGATCAGAGAGGAACACCTGCAGGAGGATCAAAGAGGACCACCTGCAGGAGGATCAAAGAGGACCACCTGCAGGAGGATCAGAGAGGACCACCTGCAGGAGGATCAAAGAGGACCACCTGCAGGAGGATCAAAGAGGAACACCTGCAGGAGGATCAGAGAGGAAAACCTGCAGGAGGATCAGAGAGGAACACCTGCAGGAGGATCAAAGAGGATCACCTGCAGGAGGATCAGAGAGGACCACCTGCAGGAGGATCAGAGAGGACCACCTGCAGGAGGATCAAAGACGACCACCTGCAGGAGGATCAAAGAGGACCACCTGCAGGAGGATCAAAGAAGACCACCTGCAGGAGGATCAGAGAGGACCACCTGCAGGAGGATCAGAGAGGAAAACCTGCAGGAGGATCAGAGAGGACCACCTGCAGGAGGATCAGAGAGGACCACCTGCAGGAGGATCAAAGAGGACCACCTGCAGGAGGATCAAAGAGGACCACCTGCAGGAGGATCAAAGAGGACCACCTGCAGGAGGATCAAAGAGGACCACCTGCAGGAGGATCAAAGACGACCACCTGCAGGAGGATCAGAGAGGACCACCTGCAGGAGGATCAAAGAGGACCACCTGCAGGAGGATCAGAGAGGACCACCTGCAGGAGGATCAAGGAGGATCAAAGAGGACCACCTGCAGGAGGATCAGAGAGGACCACCTGCAGGATCAGACCCAGAAATAGATGAAGGGGATAAAATGGATGAAAATGGAGGCGCAGAAAAGGAAATACCGGTTCATTCTCAGTGCCCAGATTCTCCTGTGCTCTGACGTCTGGAGAATCTTGGGTCCAGACACATTGTGGAGCTGCTGTTGAAGACCTTTAGGAAACACATAACTCTAAATACATACATTTTAAGTACACAACAAGTTGTCCATTGTTGGTTTAACTAAAGTCATGAATTTTAAATAGATAATCGTCTCAATACAGTGTTATACAAGTGCAGAACAGAACTTAACAGTCCTTGAAACAACAAAGAGTTCAGATGCAGCAGATAACAGTGACACGGGGACTAATACCATTTCTGTGGTTATTATGACTCCTCCTGCTCTCTCTCTCGCTCTCTTTCTCTTTCCCCCTCTCTCTCTCTGTCTATGAACCTAACACACATGAGCATCAGCGGGATTATCTCCAATCGCTGCCAATACTCAAGAGACTTCATTTCCTCGATGGCTCTTCACCAGATTTTACCTGTCGCCTTTTGTAAGTATTTAATCTGATTTGAGTCCATTCTGACGCAGACGTTTTCTCCTTCATGTTCTCAGGTTTATCATTGACCTTTATTTCCGGCCTCATTCAGTTGGTTGGTCTACATTTTGTGGTCATCGCTGGTTGCATACTTTATTACTTTAATTTTCTCTTAAATTGTGTTTTTATGTGACATTGATCAAAGATGAATTTTCACCTTTGCTCGACAGTAAAAAGATTTGATTCTATACTCTCCCAATTTTCAAAGTTTCACCTGTACATGAATTGTCCTTGTTTATATTATATTGTATTATGTTGTTTTCAGTATCCTGTTGTTTTAAAATTAAGACCAATTCAGCGATGACCACACCGTAGACCAACTATGCATAGAACAGGCAGGATGAAATAGTCTTAGATAGTTTTGTAATAATTTAATAACTTCTACGTCCCAGGCTTTGTCTTACTCACAAACGGCCAGTTCTCGGTCGTGGAGGTCCCACTTGGTTCTGACGTGACTCTCGACTGCACCAAACCCTCAAACCTGGAACCGAGGCGACGGACTTTTTGGTTCCACGCAAATCAACGCAACACGAGTCTGATCCGTTCAATGGTTGACGCAAACGGCAAGGTTACTTTCAATGCCACAAAGACAAACAAATGGGAGAAATATAGGATGGAATTAAACGATTCCCAGGTTTATTTGACCGTCAGGACCGTGGAGATGGACGACTTTGGTCTGTACTTCTGTGGGGAACAGCTCAACAACAGATCTGTGATTTTTACAAGCACATTTTTAACAATCCAAGGTAAGAGGCCTTTTTTTTCAAATAGATTCACCAACTCTAATGTGTAGACAACATAAGATTAATATGTTGGTGCATCAGCAGTAGGAATGAGGAGCACACAGCACAAGATAAATGAACAATACCTCTATACTAATGTCAGGAATGAACCAGACAGAGACGGATCGTGGTGCGCCAAACTCTGGAAGTTTATTTTACTTTCTCTCAAGTTCCAGTGGTTTCTGATGTTTCTTTTTCTCAAACAGAATAAAGGCAGTACACAGTTTATATAGTCATTGTCACGTCACACATGGAAAGACATATGTGTCACACAGAGACAGTCACATCATAGTCATAACAAGGATACACCATCTTGTCTCGTCTCGTCTTGTGCTTGTCCTGCACGTAGGCCAAATCGCTATCTAATCCTCACACTCTCCCCTTTAATCACATAATCACATGTGATCACTCAAAAAACATTTTTAAGAAATCCCCAAAAAACTAAAAAAAAAAACTTTAAATAAACAATAAAAATGTATGCATTAAACTTATAATCATCAATCAGTGGATTTTATCCTCTATACTGGGGGGAAAAAACCAAAAACAAAACAAAGACAAAAAAAGAAAAAGAAAAAAGAAAACTAAAATATAAACAAAACAAAAATAAAAGCAAACAAAAACCCTATTGGACACAGAAGAACTCCGCAGATTCAGTCAAAACACAGACAAAAAAGAGGTGAATCTTAAATTAGAAGCTTATTTAACTTTTCTAGCTTTATACTTTTATTCTAATGCTGACTGTTTACACTGTTTTAATCTTAGACTATGTACTTTACTTTTACTATTCACTATAGTTTCAAACTATTCTAATCTATTTACAAATATGTTTGCATATTTTTATTCAGCCATATTCTTAAACATATATTTTAATCTAATAAATCTCTCTGTGGTTTACTTTCATTATCAGTGACATATTGTTAGTGGGATGTTGCTCTGTGTGGAACTATTCTACCTTCTCAGGAATAAAACTGTGAACACAGTAAGACAAATGGTTAATATTTACACTTCTATAGTGGTCAGTGATTTATTTATTTTTATTATCTAAAGATATTATTGTCAGGCAGTTTGGGATGAATGTACATCAGTAATCAAATTAGAACTATCCTTACAAGAGCTAATCTATTTCAGCAGGTTTGGGGTCAGTTATTCTACAATGGTGTTTGATTCTCTAATCTGTGCTGACAAATCGACAGCTTTTTAAACTTCTCAATATCTAAATATCTACTTTTGTGTTTTTGTGCTATACAGTAGGTCCCATTTCGTTTTGTCGCCTTTCACGCGTGAATCACACGAGACTCACGTGTGATTCACGCGTCTTTTATTTTCCTTCCCCCCAGTGACGCTGCAATGACCAAAACAACCACCAGGTGGCACTTGTGAGCAGGGTTACATTGGCGTCTCATCGCTCTTTCTTCTCTCTTCACCGGACAACTATCTGTGGTTTTAAGCCTAGCGTACTGTACGTCGGACTTATATCCGTCGCCTATGAGTTTCTGCCCCGCGCACATCGACAATCTGGTTAAAACGGGCAACTCCTTGTAGCAGGCCAGTCTCTGGAATAACCCGCAGACATTAAAACTACTGCATATAACGTAAACTTTTGCATCACGTTGGTGATCTTTCCAAAAAGAGAGAATATCGTTATGGAAAGAGAAACTATTGGTAATATAACGCTGAACGTTATTTGACTCAAACAGCTCCGCTGGTGTCTCCTCCCACTCAGAAAAAAAGCAGACGCCTTTTCTCTGGCATCTCTAACATTTATAATAAATACATAAATATAACAATCATAATGAAGATGCTTTCAAATAATTTAGCAAGCTGTAATTCATTTATTTTAACTCCCTGCCAAACTTCTCTCGCTGCTCTCTCCTCCGCAAACCACTAAATGAGGAAAAGGGAATATTCACTCAATCTATTTTGAATGTTACACATACAATATTAATATAGTCTAAGCACGTGTAACACCTGTAGCCCGTGTATTTACCACAGACTGTAAGTATTAAAGTAATGAGGCCCCTGCTTTAGGCCTCTGCTGTGAGGCCCTAATGTACCTACCAGTAGCGGCGCCAGGTTTGCAATTTTGGGTAGGCCTGCAGATTAGTAAGTAGGCCAAATTCGCTTGCAAACTACAAAGGCTAGCTGGAATTGGGGTTTCAAAGAATATGGTTCAAACGCACACACGCACGCACACGCACACACGCGCGCACATACACAAGCTCATTTATGAAACTTGCGTAAAAAAAGGTGTACATTTTGGGTGTATATTCCATTTACGCAAAATCCACTGTCGGATTTATGAACATGTGAGATCCGCCCAGATCTGAGCGTACGCAGCTGCGGGTGTTGATAAATCGACTGAATACGAAAATATTTATGAAAGTCACACCTAGAATTATGCAGCAATCGCGTGTTTCACGCCCCGTCTTCGTGACAGGTCAGCAGGAAGCCGGCCTAAAAGACTGTTTGGAAGCCTCAAAAGGCACGTTTGTTTGTTCATGTTTATGTAAAAATAAATATACTCTATATATTCAGCTGCGTTTTGAACAAATTTGCTAAAATGTTTTGATACATTAGAAAAATCCTTCTTGAATTGTAGAAGTGAATAAATATAGATTGATTGAATGAATGAATAATTCATATATATCATGCAGCGGTGGCTCTGAATGAAGCGTCTGCAGCGTCTTGGACGCAGCCTGGCTCGGGGTAGAAGTGCGCATTGAAGCGCTGTACACTTCAGAGAGCGTTTGCGGTCCAGATTTCACAAAGAAACTCTGGAGCCAAAACTTCTGCACATGTGGCGGGACCTCTCACGGCACTCGCTGCGCACTCTGGACAGGGCAGTGAGACATTTGTGAGTGAGCAATAACATCGATGCGTTATTGGGGTGTGTGTCTGTGTGAGGGTTACACAAATCTAATGAAATAACACATTGCTTTACCAGATGTGAGGAATACAAATAGCCGTGCGTAATTACGCAGCGCAGAGCCTGCCACAGCAATAGATGGGTCACACATCCCTGTTGCGTAAAGTGTATTTATATAGAGCCTTTGACTGTCCAGGATCACAAAGCGCTTCACATTTTAAAAACATACAGATCAAAATAATACACACATAAGTCAGATTTAATAGAAGGTTCTCATCATGAGCTGTGATGTGTCTTTCAATCACACGTTTCAGCTTCAGTGTCCAGATTCAGCAATTCAATTCAGTCCAAATTATGTCCAAATTCAGAAATCCAGATTGTTCCAAATTATGTCCAAATTGTGTAATCCAATTGTTCCAAATGATGTCCATGCAAAAGAGGACGATGGTATTGTCCATGTCTCAGCAGCTCACAGCCTGAGTGGAATCAGGGGCTGTGCAGATTGTCCATGTGTGCTGATCCAGATGCATTCTCTTGAGGTTTCTCAGTTTTGGCTTAACCTCCTGAGACCCTGCGACCTCATACGAGGACATTACATTTTTGCCTCTTGGCACAATGATACTCAATTTTTTACATCCTTGACCTGATGGCCACATTTAGGGACACTGCCCGCGCCATCTTGTGGTGATATGATAGAATTACACTTAAGGCAGTAGGAAAAAATTGGTGGCAATATCAGCAAAAGACTTCTACAAGAGTTTACAGAAGAAAAATGCCCCAGGTAAAAA